ATAACGCGCGTCCAACGTCCCCTGCGGGTTGCCATTGCCAGTGCATCGCTGTACAGCGTCGTCCAACGCCGTCCACGGCTGCACCACGGACTTTACCTTCCCCAGCTGCTCCGTCGAGCGCACAGACACAACACTGTACGACTCCTCACCCGCCGGCTTCCTCTTTTCGTATACCGAAATCAACTCTCCCTCCTTGCCACTTTTGTAGAACAGGGGGCTGGCAGCAGCGTCCTCCTCCGCGACGGTTACGCCAGGGCCACGCGTTGCCTGTCCGTCAACCAAAGATGCATTCGACCCTTACCTTATTGGTTTTCTTTGCCCTCAGAATACACCGGCATCGTGAGGAGCATCAGTTTTTTTTCCCCCAAATGGTGGCAATGGCGAACCCGCTTCGCATGCCATTCCCTGTTCGGGCGCGTGAGGTGCCCCACACGCGGGAAAGCAAAGACAAAAACTGGGCCACGCCGCCAGTAAGAGCAAACGACGGGCTCCACATAAAGCGTGCCATGGCGGCAAGGAGAGGGCAAACGGAAAGGCACATCCTCCTCGCAGGGCACTGCAAGCGCGCACTCGCACACATAGACAGAAACATATATATATATATATATATATATATCTCAATTTCCCTCCTTCCATGGCTTTCCTGCAAGTGGCTAGCCTGCGCCGCGCCTTACCGCAGACTGCCAAGCTCTTGTACAAACACTTCAGGACGCAGCATAGAGGTGCCACCAAGGATCACTTCACGGCCGTACTTTTTAGATATCTCGTAGGCCGCGCGCCTCTCGCTGCAGGTCACACCACCCAAAACAAACAGCACTATGCGTTGAGGGTTTCTGAGGGCAATCATTCCTCCACTACCGCCCAAATCGAGAAGGTTCTCTCCTTTGCCCCTTCCCTTTTGAAACGGCTCCGCATTGGCCCCTGCCGCTCCGTTGTATTTGCCGCCGCCGCCGCCTGTGCCATTCTGCCCCACCGCATGGTCCTGCCGCATGGCTGCCAGGGACAACCCAACCCGCAACGTTTTCTTCCTAACTGTTGTGTCCGTCGCCGCCTCCCCGCCCGCCGCGGACGTCCTCGCCTCGTACGGGGAGCTCATCGCGGGGTAGTCCGCCGAGTTCAGCGTGTTCCTTGCCACGGATTCCATGATCGCATAGGCCTGGTTGAGAAAAGGGTCGCCGTCCGTCGCCGCGTTGGGGAGGGAAAGACTACTGGCTCGCTCGCCGCGCTCCGGCGCCGGGCCGCCGCAGCGAGTCCTCCCAACCCGCCTCGTCAGCTGCTCCAGGTTCGCAAACAGATGGGCCTTCGAGGCTAGCCCGCAGCCCTGAAGCAACTGCTGCTTTTTGGCCTCCGTGAACTCCTCCGTGTTGCTCGCAGCCGCAAACAGCAAGAGAAGGCGCAGACGCACCGGTTCGGGTATCGCGGCGTCCTTCGTCAGGCGCCGCACGCTCTCCAGGTTTTCCTTGAAGGGCCTGCGCTCAGCGGCGATGTCCTGCTCCACCTCACACACCTCCGCGAGCCGCTGCTCCCGGTAAAGGCCCATAAGTCTGCTGCAGATGTCGATGTGCAGCGACAGCTTTGCCTGCTTCTCCTGAAACTCCAGCAGGCCCCGCACCGCCCCGCCCAACTCCGCCAGATCGGTCCTCTTCTCCAGGCCCTGCGCCAACGCCGGGTGCTCCGCGTGAAGCTCGTTCAGCGCCGCCGGGAGCTCCTCCAGGCACTGCGCAAAGAAGCGATGACGGTAGGAGCACCAGTACACGTCGTCCTCGTCAATCGCATACTCCCGCTTTGCGTCCTCCCCCGCGCGATTCTTGAACGTCTGCTCGTACACGCCATTCTCCAGCGGCATGAGGTCGTCGAGTAGGCACTGGTAGGTGCGCTGGTGCACCAGCGGCGCCACCGTGTCGAAGCCCCGATCAAGGATTACCAGGACCGGCTTGCCGCGGACGTTTTCCCCCTTCTTGAAGTCGGGTTCGTCGTAGCAGAGCTTGGCGAGCTTCTCAAAGAAGGTCTTGGCAAAAGCGTGGCAGATGTTGCTTCGGTTTTGGTAGTGGATGAAGGGCACTCCGCTGTTCAGGACGTGAAACACCGACACCAGCCGCGACGCCGCGACGTCCAAAACGAACTCGCGGGTTGGCTGCGGCAGCGGCGACAAGAGAGGCGCAAACGCGTCCTCCATGCCCAGGTGAAACACCAGCGACTCGGGGGCGCTGAACTCCAGCAGCATGTCCTTGAAACTCACCACCCGCGGCGCCACCCGGGCCTGCGCGAGCTGCTGCAGGTGGCGCTCCGGCGTGCAGCCCAGCGCGAAGAGGTGGGCCTCCGCGTAGGGGTCCTTCGCCGCCCAGTCCTCAATCACGCGCCTCACAGCCGCCTCCTCGGGGGCAAAGAAGTAGAGCGCAGGGCTACTAATAATGGGCTGCCGCGGCGCCGCGAGGTCCTCCAGCAGAGTCACGCCATGCTCCATGAGGTCATGCACACGCAGCGAGCAGTTCAGCACAGCCGCCGCGTGCGAGTCGCAGATGACAACCTTGAACGACCCAGGAACGGCATCAAGCATGTGGTGGAAAATATATCTTCGCACGCAGCCCCGGATGCCATTGCTGGGCTCGTGCTGCGGCCCCTCCTCTGCCGGCGTTGACCGCACAAGCCCTCCCTGCATACTTACACCACGCACGTCTCCCACCGACGACGTCGTTGGATGCGCGTGTTTGTCTGTGTCCTAGCGCGCCACTCGCCTCACTCTGTGTGTATGTTTCAGAAAGGCAATCAAGCACACAAAGTACGAAGCACAGAGTTGTACATCCGCCCCCACTTTATCAAGCAGAACAAGAGCGGTGAAGTGACTTAAATACCCGCTCCACACCAATGCGCCGACAGTAACAGCGGGCACGAAAAGCCAGTTATTGTTATTTTTTTTTTTTTTCAAGCTTAGAGTTACCGCACGTGATTCCTGGTGCCCCACCCGCACCCGCTTTTCCGCCATCCCCTACAGATTAACAGGTTTCCATTTCCGTGACTTATCGCTTACTTATTTGGCAGGTTTACTGTTCCATTGGCACATTGTTTTTTTGCCGCGTCCTCTTCACGGCCCCCGGCGACGAACAAATTAACAGGAGGCCCTACAGCGTCCGTCGCAAGTGGCTGGAGGACGAGAGGGGACATGTTTTTTACGCGTTGCTGCCGCAGTTATGCCTCCTCAACGTTCTTTTTTCCCGTTTTATTCTTCCTTCGCACCTCTACCTGCTGAGGACGGCCGCGGCCCACGAGAAGGGCGACGTTCAGTCCATCCAAATAACCCAAGGGGGGTTGAACAAAACAAGAAATGAGTATAAATTTACGTTTAAGAAAAAAAAAACAAGGTAAAAGAAACACTTATGCGCTGTTGCCTGCGGACCACGCAGAAGACAAACCGCGTCCGCCTTGAAGTGCAACGTCACCCACGCTGCGGCTCAACAAAGTGCTGCGACGGCGGTGGCGGCGAGGAGCAGCAGCGGAGAGAAGCCGGCAGCTGCCAGAGCACCATCGCCGTTGGACTGCGGGGCAGCCGGGGGGTGCACCCTCTCGCGGGATGCACCGTCTTCGGTGTCGCGGCTCTCCGGAAGCCCAGGCGAGGGCGGCGGCAAGGGCACTTCCGCCGGAGGCACAGGGGCCGACGGGGGGGGATGCAGGCGATTTGTGCGGATCAGGCGATTTGTGCGGTTCAGGCAACTCAGGCTTCGGAGGCGGTGCAGACGGTGCGGGGGGCTGGGAGGGACCTTTCTCTTCCACTCCTTGTCGTTTGCCGTCCCATTGAACCCCTGGGGTCACGCCGCTGCCGGTGG